TACCTGTCGTTAGTCAATTCAATTCACTCCATGTGATGTCAAGAAATGGCTGAGGACACTAGATGTGGCAAAGGCATATGGGCCCTGCCAAAATTCCTGCAGACATGCTGAAGACTCTAGAACTATGCATCTTGCTAGCCAAGCTGTTCCAGTGCAGCAACAACACTAACACCAACACAGCAGTGTGGAAAATTGCCTAGGTTTGCCTGTGATGAAAAAGCAGGACAAATCTAATCCACCCAGTTACCACGTTGTCAGCTTACTCTCAATCATCAGTTAAGTGATGGATGTTATCAACAGTACTATGAAGCAGCACCTGCATAGCAATAACCTGCTCACCAATGCTCAGTGTGGGTTCTGCTAGGGCCACTCAGCTCCTGACCCATTGCAGCTTTAGTCCAAACATGGACAAAAGAGCAGACCACCAAGGGTGAATTGAGAATGACAGCCTTTGACATTACAGCAGCATTTGACCAAGTATGGGTCATGGAACCCTAGCAAAAGTGAAGTGAGTGAGATTTGAGGGCTGTGCTCTCCACTGGTTGGATTCGTATGTATCACAAAGGAAGATGGTTGTGGTTGTTGGAGGTCAGTCATCTCAGCTCCAGAACATCTCTGCAGGAATTCCCTAGGGTAGTGTCTTAGGCCCAACCATCTTCAGCTGCTTCATCAATGGCATTTCCACATTGTATCATCAAAGGTGAAGATATTCACTGCTGATTGCACAATGCTCAGCACCAGTCATGACTCCTCAGATACAGAAGCAGTCTGTGTCCAAATGCAGCAAGTTCTATATAATATTTGTGCCACATAAATATCAGGTAAAAGCTATTTTCAATCAGGGAGAATCTAACCATTGCCCCTTGATATTCAATGGCATTACTGCTGCTGAAGCCTCCTCTATCAACATCCTCGGGGATGTCATTGATGAGAAACTGAATCGGACTAGCTGTATAGATATACCGTAACTATAACAGCAGGTCAGAGGCTAGGAATACTGTGATGAGTAACTGAACTCCTGACTCCTACCAGCTATAAGGCACAAGGCTGTGGAATGCTGTCCACTTGCTGGATAAATGCAGCTCCAACAACACTCTTGATACCATTCAGTACAAAGCAACCTGTTTGTTTGCCTCCACCACTGAAGCATAGTGGCAGCAGTGTGTGCTGTCTACAAGATATATTCCAGCTAACCAAAGCTCCTTAGACAGCACCTTTCGAATCCATCAACACTGCTAATTAGAAAGGCAAGTGCTACAGAATTGACGAGAACACCGCTGCCTGCAACTTTCTCCTCCAGGATTGGCTGAGTTTTGCTATAAAACACAAACTATTATACTACTATCTACTCCAATGAAAGCAGTGGACAACCTGGTACAATTTTTTTTTGCTTAGAGACGTGGAGTTCCCTGTATGGCATAATCATGAAGGTACATCCTAAATTACGGCCAGTCTTGCTGCTGTTTTTGCTGATATCAATTTCTACTGAAATCTTCTAACCTCAGTAGCATGCAGCAGGACATAAATTATAAATTTTATGAGTTGAAGATAACAGTAAAACAAGTGAAAGCAATAAATCAGAAAGAAATAGTGAAAGGAACTGTTGTGTCTGCAAACTGCGATTGTTTCACTGTAATTTTGACATGTTTGAGGCCAATGGAAAACAAAGGTTCTTCTGTTTCTCTTGGAGAAAGCTTTGCTGAGATTTCCAGCGATGTCTCTGATGAGAACATTACTATCAACTGGGCAGCAAAAGAGATTTTACTGGAAATACCAAGTGTGGAGTTGCAATTATGTCATCAAGCTGCCAGAGCAATCAATCACATTAAAGAATTCTCATAGATAGCCAACCAGGAAATGAAAAGTATCAAAATCAAATCATTTATTAAAATCTTTGCATGGAGTGAAATAAAGATTGGGATATACACACAGGGGTGAAGGCAAATGCTGCTATATCATGAAAGAAAGCTTTTTCCCAAAAAAAAATTATCGAAAAACTCTTTGTAAAATTTAGTAATCAATCATGAATACATTTAAGAATACTCCCACAAATTATATTTTTCAGGTCTGGATCAGTTGTTTAGCATTAGTTATTGCTTATGTCACTATGTAAAGCTATCGCTAACTGAACACTGTGTAGCCTTTCAGTCCATGTGCAATTGTGATGAGAGTGTGGAAAATCAAAAGCTTTGGGCACATTAATTGATTTCAATGATAGCCGGCTCTGGGTGTGGGAGGTTGGGAAATTCGCAGCCTGTGGTGAGCATTAACAGATCACACGTCAGAATTTCCATATTAATTTGTCCCTGTCTTAAATCCTGACATTACGGTCAGATGCAGAAGCAAAGTGACAAATGCTGACAGTTTGCCCTCACAAGACTTCACAAAGTCCAAGCCAAAATTAACATAAGTAGAATAAAACCTGGGTAACTTCTGTAAGATGAGGAAGACAATAACAAGAACCACTTCAGTCTGTTCAACAGCTGTTATCAAATGAAAGCTAAGAAAGGCTATGTGGAACAGTTGAAAAATGGCTGCAAAAAAAGACCAATTAAAACATTAGACCAGCAAACATCAAACTGAACCCTTGAAACTTTCAAATCTGTCAGATGCAAATAAAGTGAGGAATTAGGCTATTGCTTTGCAATAATGTTTACTGAAGCAGTGAGGAAACTACCTGATTGGGAAGTGTGTTTTCAGAACTTTGTATGTATAAAAGGACAAGTATGAATTAAAGCACAGATAGAAAAGTCAGGCATTTGGCAACAGAGCTCTTCACAGTTGGGAATTACAGGAAGTGGATAGCTAATTGATTGTGGTTCCCATTAACTATTTTCCATCACTCACTGGATGCAGGACAGCTCTAATAGCACTGAAGGATCGCAAACATAACTCCCATCTTCACAAAATGGGAGACTGGAGATAATTGACCTGTAAGTCTCACATTGATTTTGGGAGACTAATTTGAGACAGTTAAGAATTGACTGTAGGGCATCGATTAGTTTGAGACGTGAGCGTGACATTTGACTGCTCCTTGAAGTTTTACTGAATGCATCTGTTGACCCAGTGGATAAGGGTAAAAAAGGAAATGTTGAGCTGGATTTTAAGGAGTTTGACACTGTTGCATATGCAGAATTAATGGACAAGACCAAGACTGTGGGACAGCTGGAAACACACTGAATCAGTTAAAACAATGACCAGTTGAAAACACTAAGTATGAGTAGTCAGGAAGATATGTGATAAACTGTTCTTTTAATTAGTAACATGGTGATTTGGTGGTGGTAAAGAAAATGTGTAGCCTCACTGAATAGAAAATAAAAGTAAAAGAAGGACGTGTGACTGGGAGCTGGCTGTTTAGAGGTAAACTGCAGGCAGTGCGAATGGGACTGAGACCACCACAGCCTAGCTGTGAATATGAGAGTAACTGTTGGGGGAATTTCCAAACAGTATCACTGTCACATTGTATGCAACACAAAATGCCTCAAGCAAGAAACCACAGATTATAGATTAAAACTGATTAGGAAATGTGGAGTCAAATCAAAGCAGCTTTAAATTGACAAATATTGTCAAACTAGGAGCAATGGCAAATGTAGAAGCATCAGTGCAAATTCAGAAAGATTTGAAGATGCTGAGCTTATGAGTGGAACCATCTTTATTAAGGTAAAAGTATAAATGATAATATTTGGTGAATGATAATATTTGTTGAATGATAATATTGGACATGAGCAGAGTAAGAACCCATTGCAGGAGAGATATTGATGGGAGTATTGATGGGAATACCCATAAGTCCTATATTCTCAAGTGATAAAGAAAGTAAAACAAATTATTGGGCTGTTTTTAAGGAGGAGTCACACAGAAATGTGTCACGTCAGCCATGTCTTTGGTTATACCATGCCATCTTACTCCCTCAATTCTACATCTTTAGAAAAAGTTTGAGATCAACAATATAAAAGAAATGCCAGGGCAGGTATTAGCATAGACAACTTTGCCATATTTCAAAAAGTAATGAGACATTTGTCTGGAAGAGTACATGGATATTTAGTTTTTGAAATTTAGTTATGGTTGTATAAATTCGTTGCAGGGAAGAAAGGTGATAAATAAATGGGTAGTGGCATTACCATCACTTGGCACCTCCCTCAAACATGTTGAAGGCCATTTCAAGTCATGTCCATAATAGGACTGAACAGCTGTGATGCCCCCAGTAGTGCCAGTGTAAATTCCAAGCCATTTGGAAGCCAAAACATGGCTAAACCATCAGTGCACTCTTCTCAGGCAGTGAGAACAATAAACAAACCATTCATCTTCCCTGATAAACAGCTCACACAGAAATGGAAAAAATGTAATTCTCCACAAACTTCAGGCTGACCTGGGAGGAAGATTTTTTATTCAGATTTTGTTGCTGCTCATGGCTGTATGCTATTTTGACTCCCTGGTGTTGTAGCTGCTGAATCTGTGACACTTTTCAATGCACCTTACTTTAATCAACCTGGTCAAACATGTTATTGGCACTCTGCTGGGGTAGCAGGATTTGAACCCAGGTATTCTGACCAAACGGGTCATAGTTTATAGTTTCCGATGTTAATCTGTGCCACTGCACCACAAGGCATTCTTGGTCTTCAGTAATAAAATTGAACAAAACACTACCTGTCCAGGTAATCAACAAAAATCTGCACTGTGCCTCGAAAAGCAACATTTAGGGGAGTGAATTGGTCCCTATTTGTATCTTTTTGGTGTTAATCTTTTGAAAAAAACAGCATTCTGTAAAGCTCTAACAATGTGTTCCACTAACAACTCAACTGAAAAACTACTTCCTTTTCAGTCTGACATGTGTTGTTCTATAAACAAGTAAGTTGTCCAGAATATTATATGCTCCATCAGACAAAAAATTCTATTAAGGCTGCAATCCTATGGATCTTTGTTCCTGTCAAAGAACTGTCTGTTCAGGGAAAGTCCTTCTTTCTGAAAAATGTCCAAGGCCTATATTCTGTTTCTCTCCCCAGTGAACAGTTATGGGGATGATGAGGAGTTGACTACATCTGCAGACAGCGATGAGGAAGTGATCAAACAGTTTGAATTCTCTGTGTCGAGGTCCCAGAGTTTCCACTCTACAGTGTCAGACAAGGTGGCGCAGGCGGGTTTAGAGCGTAGGCAGAAATTTAATCGTTTACCTTCGAATCACGAAGAGTACAGCACAGAGGCCTCTGAAGTTGAAGGTACCATGCATGGCTTGTAGGATTACTAGACAATGTAATAGTCTGCACCCTTTGCTGGTTTCCTTTGCAGCTTGCAACCTTGAATGTGTTTTCCTTTTCATTCTCGTATTGATTTCATTCCCGCAATGTGCCTTTCTAACTTCAGACACATATTGCATAACGGTAGTGAAAAATAAAGACTGAGCTGCATGAAATCCTTGCTCAAGTTAATAAAAGCAATAGCAATTCTGTCATGTTTGCATGAGGTAACCAATATGTTTTTGTATTGAGATTTTGTTCTAAGTAAATTGGAACCTATGAAACTGAGAAATACTTCATGTAAATTGTTTAAGCACATCTTTATCAATTATTATTTTCCATATTGTGAGCTAGTACTGATTAAAAGGTGATGTGACAGAATCCTACCCCTGTTGTTATATATGTTGTTGTTTGCAGTCTTTTTGCTTCATGATGCTTTAAAAATGTCTTTCACGTTTACCTGTTCAGATACAGATAAACAACATCAGTTTAGCATCCACGATAATTGTTCTTATCAAGAAGATCAGTTATCTACGGGTTCAGGCACTGCGTCTGAGAGCAGAACAGGTCATCAAAAGGCTTCAGATGAAGCAGCTGGGACTCTGGATAAGAATCATGGGAAACAGCAAACTGAAGAGGGAAGTCCTGATCAAGGGACCAACTTTGACAATCAGGCCTATGAAGGAAATGACCAAACAGATAGTTCATCAGCATGGAGCCCAGAGGTAATGCGTTATGAATTGAAACAATATGTCAGATGTTACTTTATTCACAGATTTTAATGTTTAGGCGAAAAAGAAACACTGGGCAAAAAATTAACTTAATTGGTTCTAATTCATTATAAGCCTCCTTTCTCTTGACCTTTGTCTTATTCACACTGAACATAATAGGTAAATAAAAACCAAAAGAATTTCAGATGCTGTAAATCAGGAACAAAAACAGAAGTTGCTGGAAAAACTCAGCAGGTCTGGTATTATTTGTGAAGAAAATTCACAGTTAACGTTTTGGGTCCAGCTTCCTCTGTTCTGCAGAAGGGTCACTGGACCCAAAACGTTGACTCTGATTTTTCTTCACAGATGCTGCCAGGCCAGCTGAGTTTTTTACAGCAACTTCTGTTTTTGTCCATAATAGCTAAATAGTTGAGCATAGTTTCTGTGCTTAAATTGCTCAAATTGCATTATAACCGTCTTAAATGAAAATGAAAATTGATAATTATTCACTTTGGAGCTAGATACGGACATTGAAACTGTGCTAGAATGAAATTATAAACACATCCAACACATCTTTTTCTGATGTTATTGAATTGTACCTGAAAAAGGTTCCATTATTTTCTTTTAACACTTAAACAACTTTTTTGCTAAAGCAGTGCATTGTGGTAAATGTCATTTGTATTTTGTATTTATGGCCCTCCAAATAAAAACACATAAATAGCAGTGACCCTGAACTAGTTCTGGATGGGAAAATGTGTGTCAGTGTGGGATCAGGTGCAAATAATGATTTTTTTAAAGGAATGGAACTTCAAAGAGATTTTTTTTTAAGTGTACCTTCTGTTGTCGCACATTAAAGTTCAAGAAGGTGGCTCACTACCACCTTCTCCAGGCCAGTTAAAGATGGGTCTCTTTGCTTGCCCACCCAGTGTCATCAATATCCATGAATGAAAAGAAAGATATTAATTTCAGCCCAAGAGTCTTGACTCATCTCAGCCGCAGGACTGTCACTGATCTTTAGTTAACTTGTATCCTGAAGTTAGAGACTGGAAAAACAGGATTCCCACTCTTGAATGGAATCCAGTGTACACAAATTAAAAAATCTTCCTCTGTTGCACCCTATATTCAAATATTTAAGTTTGAATTTGATGAATAATGACTATCTATGTGACCGGTTACAGCAGACGTTTCCAGCAGTATCAAATCACGTCCAACATAAGGGCATTGTCAGCATTGTGAGAGTCAAGAAAAATATTCTACTATTTCTTTTGTAACATGTGATACCATATATACAGGGATAACAAGGTGTAGAGCTGGATGAACACAGCAGGCCAAGCAGTATCAGAGGAGCAGGAAAGCTGACGTTTCGGGTCGAGACCCTTCTTCAGAATATTTTCTCTACACCTTGTTATCTCAGATTCTCCAGCATCGGCAGTTCTTCCTAACACCATATATACATGTGTATTATCATTATATGGCCTTTGTCTTTAGTTACTGCTTAGCCTTATGTTTAGAATATGACATCGTATGCCTTATTACAGACCGTATAAACATTATTATTTTGAATGTTGCTATCACCATAAATATTACTTAAATATTTATATGAAAAACGTTTTCTGTAAATTTTGCTTTTTTAAAATGCTTCTGTGGACACTGTCCATCTCTATGCTATACTCTGTTGTGAGATGCGGTTGTCCATGCAGTCTGCTGTCAGAACTCTACCAATCCCACTGAACTCCAATCGTGCTGCCAGGCAACATGAAAAAGATGTTGGCCATTCTGTAAGACCATTCTCTTCTTCTGCTTGATATTTGACTCACTGTCATGGAATGACTGCCCTTGACATCAAGACCACATTTGGCACCAAGAAACTCTCTAAAAGAAGACTCAATGGGAATCGGGGGAACATTCACCACTGGTTAGAGTCATACCTGGCTCATAGGAAGGTGGTTGTAGTGATTGGGGTTCGGCATCTCAGCTCCAGGACATCTTTGAAGCTACTCCTCATGGTATTGTCCTCAGCTGCTTCATCAATGATCTTCCCTCCATCATAAGGTCAAGGTGGGAATGTTTGTCAATGATGGTACAATGTTCAGCACCATTCTTGACTCCTCAAATACTGAAACAGTCCATGATATGAACAATATCCAGGCATGGGCTGACAAATGGCAATTAAGAGTCATGCCACACAAATGCCAGAGAGAATCTAACCATCAGCCCTTGACATTCAGTGGCATCACCATCACTGAATCCCCCACTGTCAAATTCCTGGGGGTTACAATTGACCAGAGCTGAACTGGACTAGCCATATAAATACTGTGGCTACGACAGCTGATCATAGCTAGAAATCTTGCAGTAAGTAACTCACCTCTTGACACCCAAAGCCTGCCTTCCATTTATGGGGCACAACTCAGGAGTGTGATGGAACACTCCCCATTTTCCTGGATGAATTCAGCTCCAATGGCACTGAAGAAGCTTGACACCATTCAGGCAAAGCAGCACGCTTAATTGGCACCATATCCACAAGCATTCACTCCCTCCACCACTGATACTTAGTAGAAGCAGCATGTACTGTCTGCAAGATAAACTGCAGAAATTCACCAAGGCTCTTTTGACAGCACTTTCCAAATCCGCAATCACTTTCTTCGAGAAGAACAAGCGCAGCAGATATGTGGGGACACCAATACCTGCAAGTTCCTTTCAAACCACTCGCCATCATGACTTGGAAACATAGGCATTTGACCATGTACCATACATAAGGTTAAGATGAGAGCCCACAGTGTACGTTGTAGTATATTGACATGGATACAGAATTGGCTAATGGGCAGGAAACAGTAAGTGGGGATACGGCGGTAACGCAGTGTGGAGCTGGAGGAACACAGCAGGCCAGGCAGTATTAGAGGAGCAGGAAAATTGACATTTCGGGTCAGGACCCTTCTTTAGAAATGGGTCAACTTTCCTGCTCCTCTGATGCTGCCTGGTCTGCTGTGCTCCTCCAGCTCCACACTGTGTTATCTCTGACTCCAGCATCGGCAGTTCTTACTATCTCCAAGTGGGGATACGGCTCTTTTTCAGGTTGGTGACCTGTAACCAGTGGAGTTCCACAGAGATCGGTGCTGGGACCACAACTACTTACAATATATATTCATGACTTGGAGGAAGGAAATGAATGTACTGTTGCCAAATTTGCAGACGACACAAAGATAGGTGGAAAAGTGGTGAGAGAGATACAAACAGTTTGCAGAGAAGTATTGATAGGTTAAGTAAGTGGGCAAAATAAGTCGGCAAATGGAATATAATGTGCAAAACTGGGAAGTTGTTTATTTTGCAAGGGACAGGAAAAGAACAATATTATTGAAATGGAGAAAAACTGCAGAAAGCTGCAACACAAAAGGACTTGGGGGATAATGTGCATGAAACACAGAAAGTTAGCACACAGGTACAGCAGGCTGATGGAATGTTGGCTCTTATTTCAAGAAAGTTGGATTATAAGAGTATGGGAGTATTACTGCAACTGTACAGGGTGTTGATGAGACCACAACTGGAGTACTGTGAGCAGTTTTGGCCCCCTTATTTAAGGAAAGACATTATTTCATTGGATGCAGTTCAGATAAGGCTCACTAGGATGATCCTTATGGAGGGACTGTCTTGTGCACAGAGGTTAGACATGTTGAGACTTTGCTGACTGGAGTTTAGAAGAATGAGAGGTGATCCCATTGAAACGTATAGGATTCTTAAGAGGCTTGACAGGGTAAGGATGTTTCCCCTCATGGGAGAGGCTAGGACTAGAGGGCATAGTCTCAGAATAAAGTGGTGCCAATTTAAGACTGAGATGAAGAGGATTTCTTATTTCAGAGGATTGAGCGTTTTTGGATTCCTTTCCACAGAGAGCTGTAGAGGAAGAGTCTTTGTGATCTTTAAGCTGAGATACATAGATTCTTGATTAATAGGGGAAACAAGAGTTACGGAGAAAGGGCAGGAAAGTGGACATTTGAAGTGTCAGATCAGCCATGATCCTGCTGAATGGCAGAGCAGGCTAGAATGCTCTCCTTCTGTTCCTATATCTTATGGTCTTATAATGACTGTATCACTGTTCCTTCAGTGTCGCTGGGTCAAAGTCCTGAATCTCATTCCCTATGGCGCTGTGGATGTGTCTATACCAAATGGACTTCATAAAGGCAGCTTTCCACCACCTTCTCAAGAACAGCTAGGGATAGGCAATAAATGATGCCCCTGCCAGTGATGTCCGCATCCCATGAATGAATAAGGAAAAATCATAAAGTGCAGAAGAATGCTCTTTTTAAAAGAGCTTTCCAATTAAATTTCACTGTCCAGGGAATTGCAAGCCTAAATATAATCCAATTTTCTTAAAGGGGAACCTCTGCTATTTTTGTTACACATAGTGGATTCCTGCTTGCCTCAGTGTAGACAGAGGGAAAGTGCTCCTGTCCACGTACAGCAGGTTGCCCATAACTTGTTGACTAACCACTGTCCTATTGCTGACCTGGAAATCAGTACCAGCAGGTAGGGGCCTTTCCAGAAGTTCTAAATCCCCACACAACATAGAAATGTGGTTATTCTATACCCTCTGTTTAAAAATTACATGGGCAAAGAAACATCTCCTTTATTTACTTGAATTATATTACAATCCTGCTTCATTTTTTTTAGTTTCAAAGAAAGAAGGGAATGAATCTGTGTGAGAACTGGTGAACAAAGTATTGCTAAATCTAACAGCTCTACAATGTTTGGGGAGACTATGTAACCTCATACACTGGATTAGCTGTTCTGAGTTTTTATGTTATTTGATCACATTATTTTTCCCCCCTCTGTCAAGCTGTCTTCACATTTTTTAATGTTTCAATCCAGTAACTGGATGCCTGTCTGATGCATGGTTTCAAGGCTCTTGATCTAATTACTTCTATAAACCTATTTATAGGGATAGATCCTTGATCTTTGTCGTAGAAGCAATAGTTTTTAAAAAAGCACAAAGGGTGAATTCTTCATCTTTTAATTCCAAATGTGGCCTTGATCCTGTGCCACGATGCTGAATAATAGCAATTTGGAGCACACTGGAAAGATACCATTCTGTGATTGAGGTATTAAGTGCCATAAATTGGGGGAGGAGGACGAAGCGAGCGTTGAGTAGCGATTTAAAACAGTGCACTCATACTTGATGTCTCTCGTTTTCTTGGCTTTTGAATCAAAGCCAGAAGAAAATGAAATGAAGGCTTCCTCTCATTGACTGCTATAAAGGGTTATTGGAACAATGTGTTCCAGCGCTTTAATTCCAGTTTTTAACTCTCTTCCAGGTTCCCCACATGAGCTATTGAAGTAGGTTGTTTTTGAACATGTTCCCAGTTCATTACTTCCTGAGTAACAGTTATGTTTGTTTTCACCCCCTCCTGTTTGATTCGCTTTGCATTATTAAGTCATACATCATTTGTGAATGGAAATCAAGTTCTAGCGCATTAGCTCTGTTGTTCCTACGAGCACACATGCTCATGTTTTCAGCTGGAGTCTGAGGGTCACTTGCTTAATCCTTTTCTTAGGAGGCCATGTGCTGCATCTCTACCGTCACATTGACTGAAATTGGCTAATCTAGCATTGATTCAGGAACAAATGTTGAACCTTCCTCAATATTTCCTGATTTGGTGCGTTTAGGGAGCCGCATATTCCATATTTTCTATGCTTCTAAAGAAAGTAGTTAAAATTATAATTAATGGTTATATTGTATACAGTGTGATAAAACCAGAGGCTAAATGATGCTTAGTCAGTGTCCAATAATGTACTTTTCTCATCAGAATTTTAATTCTACTTCATGATCTCAAATCTATATCCCACTAATTTCTTGTTTCCAGTATTTATCCCTTAATTACCTCATGAACACCCCCTGCTCCATTGTTCCATTGGATTTTGGGCATCTCTACCAGACTCCCCACTAGATAATCTAACGATTACAAGTAATTTATGTTGAGACAATTTCACAGCATGATGGAATGTTTTTTACTGAAAACATACATTAACCACAAGACTTTGATCATCTTCAGGAGACAGAGGGTAAAGCAACAGTTCCTCAGCAACAGGACCCACCTGAGCCAATTTCCAAATGTGGAGACCTCGACCTCACATTCAATTACAAACCCTCCAGCCACAAACTGGCTGTTACAATAGTTACAGCTAAAAACATCCCAGATAAGGACCGCAGTGGGGCTAACTTATGGCAGGTTCATACAGTCCTCCTACCGGGCAAGAAGCAACGTTCCAAAACCAATGTGCAGCGGGGACCTATGCCAGTGTTCAATGAGACTTTTAGGTTTAATAAGATGGAGCCAGAGGACCTGCACAATTATGCTCTCCGATTTCGCCTGTACGCGGTGAGGAAGATGAATCGAGTGAAAATGATGGGGGAGAAGTTGTTTTACCTCAGGAATCTAAACCAGGAGGGAGAAATGGAAGTTTCGCTAATCCTGGAGCCAAGGAGTAACATGACAGTAAGTACAATAATGAGAAACAAATTAAACATCCACTTTGCTGAAACATAATTAGTGACAGATGACAGCATTGAACAAAACAACATAAAAGTAAGCCATTCTGCCCATAGTGTCAATGCTGGGGCCCCTGTAAAGAGCTGTCCAGCACATTCCACTCCCCTGCACTTTCCCCATGATGCGTCAAGCTTCTCCACTTCATGTATTCAAAGGAAACCTCTTCATCTCACCCCTGCTTTCATTTCAGATGAATTTAAATTGATAAATTCAATAGTTGTAGTCAATCTGCTCCATCCAAACTGTCAGCATTCAGAAGAAACCTCTCTTTTTCAAAAGCAGGCAGCTTAGTAAAAATGAGTGACCTATTGACTATTGAAGTGCCTTTGCTGACATATTTGAAGTTTTCTTATTGTTTTCCTTTAATTGAAACATTGCAGAGAGTATAACTGTCCAGTGCTGATTGAAGGACCCTTAATCACGGTATAGACAGCAAATATAAATTGAATATTTAATAGCTCCAAAATTGCTGATTGGACAAAATTAACAGTTCATAAAGATGAGTGAAAAGTTTAGTTAATTATTAGTAAAGTTATGGTAGAACGGTTTTTCTTTCCTACATTGGTTGCATGGGCATCATTCAGAATAATTATTTTTAAATGGTTGTGAACATCTCAATTAAACTTTCACCATTGTCTTTAACACAAAGTTGTTAAGGTTTCCTGCTACACCAATAGGTGGCATCCTAACTTACAATGAGGACTTTTGACATGCTCCATTGCATCACAACATAGGGTCGTCTGTTTGCCCTCATGTTCAATTTACCAACAGAATGTTTTCAGAAACAAAACTCCACCAGTTATTTCTTAGCTATTGAAAGTTTGAACACCTGAAATAAGGATCTGAGCAAAAAAGAAACGAGATGACACATGTATCACAATGACAAAATTTGAGCCTTTTAGAGAATCGTGGAATCCTTACAGTGCGGAAGGAGGCTGTTCAGCCCATCGAGTCTGCACTGACGCTCTGAAGAGCATTCCACCCAAATTCAGCCCCCTATCCTTCCCTATAACCCTAAATTTACTATGGTTAATCCACCTAGCCTGCACATCCCTGAACACTACGGGAAAATTTAGCACGGCCAATCCACCTAACCCTACATTTAGGATGGTTAATCGCCTAGCCTGCACATCCCTGAACACTATGGGAAAATTTAGCATGGCCAATCCACCTAACCTGCAAACCTTTGCACTGTGCAAGGAAACTGAAGCACCCAGTGGAAACCCAGACTCAGGGAGAACATACAAACTCCACACAGACAGTCACCCAAGGCTGGAATAGAATCTGGGTCCCTGACACTATGAGGCAGCAGTGCTAATTACTGTGACACAGCTGCACCATTGTGTTTTCTAAAGACTTCATTGAATATGCACTGATGATCTTAAAAAAATCTAGGTTGTTCTTGCCTTATTTTAGTTGAATTCAAATAACAATTTTCTTCTTTTCCAAAGGTTAACAGTATGTCACATGTCACATTTGGACTAGGATTTATTTTGAACAATGGATTAAGTTGTGATTTGCTATATGGGAAACAATGGTTGCTTTTCGTCATTTATGTAAATGATTTAGATGAGAATATAGGAGGTATGGTTAGCAAATTTGGAGGTTACACCAAAATAGTGGACAGTGAAGAATATTATCTAAGAGTACAATGGGACCTTGGTCAGATGGACCGAGGAGTGGCAAATGGAGATTAATTTAGATAAATGTGAGGTGTTGCATTTTGTTAAGGCAAACCAGAGCAGGGCTTATACAGTGACAGTAGGAACTGCAGATGTTGGAGAATCTGAGATAACAAGATGTAGAGCTGGATGAACACAGCAGGCCAAGCAGCATCAGATGAGCAGGAAAGCTGACGTTTCGGGCCTAGACCCTTCTTCAGACCCAAAATGTCAGCCTTCCTGATCCTCTGATGCTGCTTGGCCTGCTGTGTTCATCCAGTTCTATACCTTGTTATCTCAGGGCTTATACAGTTACTGGTAGGGCACAGGGGAGGGTTGCCGAACAAAGAGACCTAAGGGAGCAAGTTCATAGTTCCTTGGAAGTGGAATTACAGCTAGGCAGGGTAGTCAAGAAGGCTTTTGGCATGCTTGCCTTCATTGGCCAGTGCATTGAGTATAGGAGTTGGAATGTCATATTGTGGCTGTACAGGACATTGATTAGGCCACTTTTGGAATACTGCATTCAATTCTGGTCTCCCATCTGTAGGAAGGATGCTGTTAAACTTGAGAGGATGCAGAAAAGATTTACAAGGATGTTGCTGGGATTGGAGGGTTTGAGCTATAGAGAGAGGTTGAATGGGCTGGGGCTTTTTTCCCTGGAGCTTCAGAGAGTGAGAGGTGACCTTATACATGTTTATAAAATCATTAGGGGCATGGATAGGGTGAATAGCCAAGGTCTTTTTCCTAGTGTCGGGGAGTCAAAAACTAGATGGCATAGGTGTAAGGTGAGAGGGGAAAGATTTAAACAGCACCCTAGAGGTAACTTTTTCACGCAGATGGTGGTGCATTTATGGAACGAGCTGCCAGAGGAAATGGTGGAAGTGGGTACATTACAACCTTTAAAAGGCATCTGGATGGGTGTATGAACAGGAAAGGTTTAGAGAGATGTGGGCCAAATGCTGGCAAAAGGGTCTAGGTCAGTTTAGGATTTCTGTTCGACATGGATGAATTGGACTGAAGGGTCTGTTTCCATGCTGAAAAGTATTTTTAAAAGAGAGATTGGAGCAGACAAGGACATCCGGGGGAAAAAAGCAGCAATACAAAAAAGGCAGAGATATTTCAGAGAACAACTGTGGGCCCTGCCACAGGATATTCAGTCGCTCTTGTTAATGGGATTATTTTGTTTTCGGGCAATCCTTCCTGCACATGACAGTGTTCTTTACAGGAGATGGAAAATGACAGTCTGCACACCCACAATTTCCTGATGCACACTGCTGTGAGCATCTTCTACTTAAAGACAGGAAACATATCAATGTTGCAGATATCGCACCGATGAATCATGTCACCTATGTTACTATCTTAGGATCCACTGCATACTGAATAGTATCATGTATTTAAGCACAATGATGATATTTCTGACCACCTTTTGAAATACTAAACCTTAGTATTTGGATAAATGTTCATTGAGTATCTCAGATTAAAGGTAATGTTTTGATGTCTTACAGAGTGGAGATTCACAGATCAGTCTGTCTGCCATCTCTCACAGTGACAGTGCTTCGTCTACACAATCACTTTCACACGGTGGAACTCCGGAACTACTCGTTGGATTATCTTACAATGCCACGACAGGAAGACTTTCTGTTGAAGTAATCAAAGGCAGTCACTTCCGAAACTTGGCTCTGAACAGACCGCCTGGTTAGTGAAATAAATCTTTATTGCAACAGAACAGTTATGGCATATTCAATTGAAATGTTTGTTCATATAGTCCCTTTCTCAATTATTTTCACATTTCCCCATTCTCCCTTCAAGAATGTACACACATGACATTCACCATGAGTAAACTCTCATCCCAGGACTTTTGGAGTTTGGATACATGTGACCAATTAAAATGGAAGATGAGAAATACTCATTACTCTATCCTTTCTGTCCCACACAGTTGTAATGTCTGAGGCATCATAATACATGGAGTGTGCACTGATAACCCAGGCCAATTAGGGGAGAGAAATGGAAAACTCCTTTGTGTTTTACCCCAACCCTCTCCACCTTAGTCCAGGATACCATGTAGGTCCTGTACAATAAAGCAATAATGCAAGTAATCTCTGCAGCAGCCACAAATAAATCCATCTCTTGTTTGAACTTGGAATTTATTGAGTAGTCCTTTTCTACACTGTTTCCAAAGGCTCAATATCCTCAGGTTGTTATAAGGTCAAATTTTGACAAAAGGTTACCAAATTAGGGTCACCAAGGTCTTGCACGCAAGGTCATGATGACATTTTTTGCCTTATAGTGAATTACCATGCAGAACACACCCTACAACATTATTTGATTTAACTCTAGCCTCACAGCATTAACCATAGATCATCCTGTTGGGCATTAAAATACCCAGATCATTTTTTTACTACCATTGACTTTAATTCTATTCACTATAGAGGATTTGCATGTTTCACTTTCCCCCGTGTATGGTGCTACACCTTTCTAAATTGAAAATTGTTTGCCAAATACAAGAACACCTTGATCTACTTGTAGTGGTCAAGCATCCCAAAGTCCAACTTTTGCATAAATCTTGGCATTGTTTCAAATTTTCAGGTCATTCTCCACCACCATTTAGATAACTTAAAAAAATGTAAATAACAAAAGTCCTAACACTGGCCACTTGCAGTGGGTTTCAGATTGCATCCAAATCTATTCCTCAGCAATTTTCACTCTATGGGCGTTCAGCCAATTTTCAATCCAACACAATGGGGTATCCAAAGGAAGTTTTGACTTATTTCCAAATAGCAGATATCTAGAAATTATAATTGTCTGAAATAAAACTGTAAGATCCATACCTAGAAGTAAAATGTTTTCTAAAGCTAAATTGTGCACATTGTTCTTTAATAAGAGACAACAAGTGTGGAGCAGGAGGAACACAGCAGGCCAGGCAGCACCAGAGACACAGGAAAGTTGACGTTTCGCGTCGGGACGCTTCTTCATTTCTGAAGAAGGATCCCAACCCGAAACGTCAACGGTCCTGCATCTCTGGTGCTGTCTGGCCTGCTGTGTTCCTCCAGCTCCACACTTTGTTATCTCAGACTCCAGCATCTGCTGTTCTTGCTAACACATTATTCTTTAATTGTTCTCATTATAACAGCTTTGTATCAGATGGGCAGTTGATATAATGTACATATACCTAATTGATTAGACATAGATGCTATCGCTGAAATTATTGGCAAGGAAATGGCACACAAATAAAAGGAATATTGATGATATTCCTTCTGAATAAACATACAATCGTACTGATAACAGAAACAGTTTCAGTACCACAAGAAATGGCTCCTTGGCTGATGTGTGTAAAGTCAAGCGTGGTGTCCAATGTCAGAATTCTGATTCAGTTTGTCATCCTTCATTTCTGAATGGTTGCCACCTTGGAAAGATTTTATAATGTTAAAATCAGAGTGCTTACTTTGGTTTATTTCAAAAATATATTTTATGCTTAAAAAACTGTACACATAGTCACTAATGCAGTTTGGTACTGTACAATAACATATGAAGAAAACAAGCAACATTGGAGTTTAACTGTAACCAACAAATAAACCAAAGGCATCTCTTACTTGTACAAGACTATTATTGCATGCATCTGAGGCATGAGGAGGGTCCAATTACTGAACGAAACCCAACTTAACTTCAGCAAGAAGATCTCAGACAGTAACCAGGTTAGAGTGCTGGTTTAATGAATGTTCACTGCAAATTAATCTGCCTCCTTACAGAGGAAGACATTTTATTGTTGAAGGTATCACACCCCTCCCTCCTTTTATAGGAATAAATTATATTTGAAATCTCTTCGAAGTTTTTCAGTCTTGTAGATTTAGGGACTTCTCAATAACATTAATTAGGTACAGCATCCCAGAGCTTTGCGACAGCTAATAGTAAAGCCTGTAGTTTTAAGCTGCCTTGTGAGCCATTCACATTCTGCCCTACTTTGAGTGTCACTGTGTAGATTGGCAGATTTTCAGAGCTGGTTTCAAGATGGCTTGAAGCTCAAACCTCTACTGTTTACAATAGCTTTTTATAGAAAATTCCCCAGAATTACTGTCACTGTGCAAGCCCCTCATGAAAAGAGACTCTGCTTTAAGGAGCACTATTATTTAATTCTGTAAAGGGGAAGGAATGTCTAGAGGAATACTCTGAGTATAAAGTACAACCATTGGAATTTCTATCTCATTTAACTGGGGATAGAAAATTGAAGAATAGGAAAATGGTAGAACCATAAATCAATTTGTTTAAAATATATTTTTTCCCTGTAGCTCCCTCTGAGAAATCAATACTTGCATGAGATGACTGTCCAGCTTGTAGGTGTTCATTTGATCAAACAAGGCTAGACTGATATTGAGAAACAGCAAGTGAGATAAGATCCACAAATAACTCCAGTGACATTGCATTGTTGGTAGAGCTTTTACCACTGCATTCACTTTATAATTAACTATTGTGCAGTTTGCCTGAGTCTACATAGAGCCATAGAGATGTACAGCATGGAAGCAGACCCTTCGGTCCAACTTGTCCATGCCGATCAGTATCCTAAATTAATCTAGTTCCACGTATCAGCATTTGGCCCATAGCTCTCTGAACCATTCCTAATCATATACCCATCCAGATGCCTTTTAAATGTTGTAATTGTACCAGCCTCCATCACATCCTCTAGCAGTTCATTTCAACATACGCACCACCCACAGCATGAAAAAATTGCCCCTTTTAAGTCTTTCCCCTCTCACCTTAAACCTATGCCCTCTAGTTTGGACTCTCCTGTGCTGAGGACTGTCCTATGCTATTCACCATATCTTTGCCCCTCATGATTTTATAACCTCTATAAGGTCACCCATTAGCCTCTGGTGCTCCAGGAAAAATAACCCCAGCCTATTCAGCCTCTTCCCATAGCTCAAACCGTCCAACCCTGGCAACATTGTTGTAAATCTTTTCTAAACCCTTTCAAGTTTTATAAGATCCTTCCTATAGCAGGGAGACCAGAATTCACGCAGTATTCCAAAAATGGCCTAACCAATGTCCTGTACAACTAGGGAAGCAATGGCCCAATGGTATTATCATTGGACTGTGAATCAAGAGACCCAAGTAATATTCTGGGCATCCATGTTTGAATCCCGCCATGGTAGATGGTGGAATTTGAAGTCAATAAAACACCTGGAATTAGAAGTCTACTGATGACCATGAATCCATTGTCAATTGCCAGAAAAACCCGTCTGGTTCGCAAATGTCCTTTAGGGATGGAAACTGCCATCCTCTCTTACTTTGGACGACATGTAACTCCAGACCCACAGCAATGTGGTTGACTCTTAACTGCCCTCTGGGCAATAAATATTGGCCCAGCCAGTGATGCCCTCAGCCCATGAATGAAAAAAAAAACAAACCACAACATGACCTCCCGAATCCTATACTCAATGCCAGTGCACCATAAGTTACGGTTCTTCAGTGGAACACTTTCATTTCGAGTATGCCACGTACTTTTTATTCATTCATGGGACATAGGTGTTTGAAGGACTGTCAATTTCCGATGTGAGACACATCAGAGATTGGCATTGATTGAGGTTCATAAAGTGGTATGAATGAAGAGGAGTGTTGTTGTTGAATCCTGGATTTTAACAGCTCCTAGGAATGGACTGGCATAAGGTGGGTGGAGAGAGGTGGGGTGGGGAGGGTGGGAAACGCGTAAAATTGCAGGGAAATTGGAGACAGGTGTGTATCGTTTTTCTCCTGTCACCATGGAATTATACCAGCAGCAGCCCAGTTGGAGGACAGTCCACACACTCTCCCATCTAGAAATCATGTGAGTCACTTTAGCAGCTAATTAAGGGATGCTTTCTTCTGCCATTGGTTTTCTTTTTTAACTAGTCATAAGACTCTCTGCCTCATAGAGTGACCGCCTGATGAATTCTGGCAGCTTCCTATTGTGCTTGGCACTGGTGTAGGTGGCGGGGCTCTGGGGAGTAGGGGGGTGGGTGCACGCGGTGTGAGGTAGTGTGGAGTGTCTTATTTTGATAAGCAGAAGCCCCGGGTGACAATGGGCCACATCCACAGCAATCCACCTCTTGCCCTGCCACCTTGCCCCAATGTCTTCAGATGGCACCAGTTTTAGAGGATGACTTAGTGTCCTTCCCTTTCAGGTTTAATCCCAGTGGTATCCATTGTGGCTGGTTGGTTGGCAGCTCCTGGACCCTCAGGCTGCCCTTTAAAGGGATGGCAGCCCACAGTGCAACTAATTGGCTCCTTGATGCCCCTTCCCCCCATCCCTGCAAGAAAACAAAGCCAGGAGTCATCACCATGTTTCCAACCTGTTGTGGGAGTCACCGTTGTGACCCTAATTATTCAACCTGCAATATGTGGTAGCTGGTCATAACATAGGATGTAAAAGCAGACATGAGACATAGAGGGACAAATTCTCATTTTTGATAGGGCTAGGAAATTGGTGATAGTAAAAATGGAATTCAAAGCTGAGGTGGTGACATGGCTTAGTAACAGGCCAGGGATGGTACTAAGGGGAGGCAGTAGTTGTGTTACTGAAGAAGTAATACAGAACTTCAGGCAAATGTTCTAGGAACGTGGGTTCGAGTCCCACAAGGTATAATGGTCCCCCATAAAAATCCGAAATAAAAAAAAGACTAAACTAATGGAGACTGTTGGAGAGAGTCTTGAGTCCTGTGGTCAGTAGCAC